GTACTGTAGCAAATAGAGTTTACAGTGTAACCCACCTGTCTCTGAGGAGTACACTCCAAAGCTCTTGTCCCAGAAGCCACACACCAGGATGTAGCAGTTGTCAGCTGTCACCACAGAACAGTGTGAGGTGATTTGGATGCTCTGGTCCACTAAGTCTGTGATCTGACGCTTGTTGCTTCGACTCTGTGGGCTGCGGGAATAAAGAAGGAGAACAAATAAAACAAGTGTCGAGGGGTAAGAATGCTACTTTGAATCTTTGAAGACACTGCGAGGGGAGAGTTTTTATTTTTAGTTTTTACATGCTGACATTTCCATTCAGAGGAGTGCTGCCTTACTCACCCACAGAGAGTCTTCCTCCACGGCTGCTGATGAGCCTGCTGCAGTGTAGCCTGGAGCAGACCTGCTCCTGTACACAGTCTAAAAGCAAAAAAAACAACAACACATTTTGAGAGAAATTTTAAAACACAATTTCACACACACACAAACCCACAAATACCTGTTCCTCTTTCAGATGTATACAACATATTTTCTAGAGCACCAGTGTTCGGATCTGCAGTATGTGTTTCCATGTTCTAAATGTGTCATCAGAAACACTGCCACATTTCTCCGATGGATTGTTTTCCCTCCTGTGTTGAACTTGATTAGGACATTTCATGCAATGTGAAAAAACCCCAAACATCTGGGGCTGGTTTTGAAATAGCAACATTGCTGTAAAATATGGAGGAGACCTTATTATGTTCATTACAGTGAAAAAGATACAGCACGTTCCCCGTTCTCCATGACAGAGAGGCAGAGTCTGGTGCAGCTGTGTTCATTAGTGCAGGAGGAACCAGAGCAGCCACACAGACCCGGCTGTTTGGATCCAAGCGGAGACTGCGGTGAACTTGCTGACTAATTTTTTTAGTTAGGATTGACCCCTGACCCTGCGACCCAGGAGTGAGGAATGTCCATGAGTTTGGGTTCCTGGCGTCTAAACATTGATCAAAGAGCTGCTGCTGAGCTAGGTATTCTGTAGCACATTTGTTAGGGTCACATGGGTGAAACTGTATGTGTAATCCAGACTGATATAGCTCTTATAATGTTTTTTTTCTTCTGTAAATTTAATTCATTTCTTCACCTATTTTTAAGTGATATCAAGGTTATCAATTGTTTTGGCCAAAGTTGTTGAAACTTGGGTTTTTCTTTGGAAAGACAGAGGAGTTTTAACAACACTAGAACCTGAAACTGAAAACTTGGGTTATTCTTTGGAATGACAGAGGAGTTTTAACAACACTAGAACTTCCCAAGGCAAAAGGCTTAGTTTTTAGTTTTGCTCTTAAAAGAATTGAATTAAAGATAACATGAAGGTGTTTGGACTAGCAAATAACACGAGACTGCCAATATTCTGGGAGTCAAACTAGCCAGAAAATATCTGGAAAAGGGTCAGAAATAACAGCTAACATAATCATATTTATTTAAATTAACTTACACACTAGACCTTCAAATTTGATTTGATTGTTGATATATTAATAATATTGTTTTTGTAATAATCTGTATCTCAGAAGAAAACCTGCTAGAATTCACACTGTCTCCATTTTCCTAAATACCTGAGCAGATCCAGGCAGTCAGATCCAGGCAGTCAGACCTGGCACAAACGCTGCAGCTGAAACACACACTGTGTGGCAGTTGACTTGGTGGGAGAGACAGAACGGGCGAGCGTCACTGTGTGGAAGCATTTGCATTATTTTGAACTTGTTAGGGGGAAAAGCACAGGGACAACAGTTGTGCTGGAGGAGCTTGTCAACCGTGAAGAAACTTCATGGAACTGTGAAGGTTAGCTTAGCGCTACAGCTGGGTGGAGGAGGAGAACGCTGTCTGAGGCTGGGCTACGACAGCAACGAATAACTTCACCAAAATCTGTCACTCCACGGGAATACTCAGGTCTGCAGCAGCGCCGTGGAGAAAGGCACTCTTACTATTGTCAGCTGTGAAGTCTCCCTGCCGTACTTCACATTCAAACACAAGCCTCGCAATGACTATAAACCTGGAGAAACTAATAAATAAAGCCTTTTAGTTTAATAAGAAAAACCCCAGTTGACAACTACTTCCTGTCATTAAGAGCTTTAAAAGTAACAAAAACATCTTTACTAACTTTGCTGTTACAAGACATTAACATTAAAAGGCTTTAGGTTAGATTAGATTTGATTAAATTTGATATAACTTCTTGGAAAATTAAATGTGTGGTGTCCATTGTACATCTCAAATGATTAATTCTGAAATTAAATTCCAAAATAGAGGAAAGTATTTTGATGGCCACATCAGAAAAGTGATGATGGTTCATAATTCGCCTTCTTCACCTGATCTATTTTGGGACCAGTCACATGTTTAGTTCTTCAAACCTGGAGTTCTGTTTTAACACAACTTTACACAAAGCTATAAAAATATTCATACAATTCTAATAAAAAAAGGTTATGTCAGTTTTAAAAAAAAGCTTTAAATCTTTTTATCCCAGATCTTTGACTCAGAGTTTTCTCTGGTCATCATCTTTTTTCTGTAGGAGTCACAACTGCTTCAAAGTAAAAATTCCCAAAAAACAGAAAAATCAGAGAGCCCTACTTTGCAGACTTCCTAGCAGACAAACGATACAATCAGTAGGGTTTAATTGTGAGATAATGAGCTCCGTGCAGTCTATAAAACGGATGAGACAGATAAGAGCTGCAGAAAGTGCAATCGAGGCAGCTGTTACACCAGTAGGGAGCACTCTTCCCTTTATAGACACCAAATCCTTAATGGGACTCGCAGTACTGTTGGAGCAGACTAACCCTCTGAAAAATGTTCTATTTTTTTATTATTATTATGGGTGTGATCCATATGAGGTATAACTTCTAAAATATTCATATTTATGTTGTAAAAGAGTGAAATAAGAGAAAAACAAATCAGGACATCAAGTCATTTTAGTCAAATATCCTGGTATACTAGGAGACACCTTTGACTCATATACCTGCTGTGTACTGTATATATGTTACATACATATGTGGGTCCTATATCACGCTGGACACACATTCACACACACAATGGGAATCCTCCCAGTGTGCTCTTGGCTCTCCCCAGGTGCACTGCAGAGCAGCGTGGAGGATGTGGCTGGATAAGCAACCGTGATGGCGTCTGTCCAAACCTCTGGATCAGAGCTCCTGTAGCCTACGGCAGAAACAGAGATGCAGGGAGGCACAGAGAGGGAGAGAGGCGGGGAGAGAGTGTGAGAGAGTGGCTGTCACAATCAATATGCATCAAAGTGATGGGTCAATGCGTTACTTGACAATGCAAGCAAATCCTAACTCAGCCGTGCCTCTGAGGACGAGGAGAAGGCAGAGGGGGAGGAGGTAAAACCCGCCTTAGTTCCTTACCCCCTCACCCTGTCGGCCATGCTGCAGAGTCATCCAAGTGTTAGTATGGAGGAGACAAGCCTTTTCCTATTAACATGCTTCAGTTAACCATTACCATTTCCAGCAGCAGGGGCCTGCTGCACAAACGTTAACCCACAGTGACATCCTGGCAGGACTGCAGTTTGCCGGCCTGTTTTTTTTTTCTTTTTTTTTTTTAGATGTTATTGTGCAGGAAACAAAGGCACCAAAACACAGACGATGTGCACACAAAATGCACAACCATACACAGACACACAGACTGTGGTGGATCCAGTTTTTGTAATATAGGGTGTTAATACACACTTTAACGTATGAGTCAGAGGCTTTTGGATACTTTTTAGGGCAGTTAATTCCAATAGTGCATCTAGGTTTTGCGGTATTGCTAAGCTATTCGCTTGTATTAGCTTTGTCTAGGCTAGCATACAGTGTTCTGCTGTGACACTTGATTATGGGTGAATTATAAGTTAGAACTTCAAGAATGAGAGAGAAGAAAATAAAAAGACACTGAAACAAAACAAAACAAAAGCTTAATATTTAAACTAGAAACCCATTAAATGGAAAGTACACTTCTGCTTTTTTTCTTCCAGCAGTACAAGCAGCTGAGCTTGACTGGAAGTGGGACATTCCACAGCAGGAGTGATTGATGTGACTGGAGCCACTTCCACCATCAGAGGGGAGCTTGTAGATGTCCGTCAATGCCACTGTGCACAATAGAACTTACATCGCTCAGCCTTCCGCACGCCTCTCTGACTGCCTGGCTCCTCGTTTCTTTTTTTTCCCCTTCTCCCTCCGTGGCCTTAACACACTTCCTGATATCAAAGGGACCAGTTGTAGGTGATGGTGAATAAGGCCACACAAACTGTGAGACAAACTGCTGCTCCTGACAACTCCTACTCCGTCCTCCCAGGTGGTCACCTGCTGTCTGCTTTCCATTAAAGTTGCTGGCATCGTTACAGTTACTGTGTAGTTTGAAGAGTCAATTTGACACTATCAAGCACCAATCAATCACTCTTCCCAGCAGAGTTGGACAAGCAAAGAACATAAAGGTTGGATGATACTACAGTACACTGTCAAACCCCCATGTACTGTATCTATACATGGATCCTATATGGTTTAATGGCTCAGTCAGGTGGAGGAGGGAAGTCCTGAACTGAAACTTAATAAAGTACTTGGGCTTTTCCAGGTACACAAAAGCCTGTATGTAAACGTTCAATTAGTATAGGACCAGAGTATTGCAGTTTTTATTGAACACCTGCCTAAAAGGTTTCAGAACTCATCGCCTATAATTGTACTCAATACTTTATATCCAATATCCAAGTATGCAAACAAAGGCTGTTGTGATAATTCTGCATACCATGCATGTTTTTGGTGCATCAGCCACCTTCAGGTCAAAGGTCGTCCGTCGTGCACTATGACATTACTACAGTATCTGGCCATAAATCCAGTTCTATAAGAAGATCATTGCCGGGACTAAACCAGGTTCAACCTGAGGCTGATTCCTGACAGGAAGTAAACATCAGACCCAAAATGTTTTTCTTTTGTGATGCTGTTTTACAATATTTATATAACCAATAAAAAAACCCAACACATTTTATCAGTCAGGTCAGACTGATTGAAAGACCTGCGTGCCGTCACCATGAGCGTATCCAGGTGAACCTATTAAAAACATGTCATCTAATCACTTTGTTGTCTTTGTTCATTCTGATCTGTCAAGACGGACAGCGGCAGCTGAGCAGGGATGAAGCCACACTGATGAATAATTTAT